CAGATACCCAGATAAAATTATTTTACCTTCATTAAAAACTAGCCTGTATTCAAAAAAATTGCTATGTGATGGCTATTCAAGTGTTTAATAAAATCCCAAATGAAATAAGGCAATTAGATTATAATCGATTTAGACGTAATTTATTAAAGTGGCTTTTAGAAAAACAGTTTTATTCGGTAAATGAACTGCTAAAAATAAAAGAACGTTTCTATTGACTGTAAAATGCTGTTTCTTATCTGATTGTGTTTTAAACGATTAATATTAAGATTGTAAAGTGATGCATGTTTAATTTTACTTAATTTTTTGTATATTCTAACAATAAGTTAATTAGTAAAAGTTTTCATATACCAAAATTGGTGAAATATGTGAATCATTATTATTTTTATAAGAACATCTTTGTACCATATTTCTTGTGAATAAATTTATTTATTTATACGTTTACACTAAGGCGTAAGTAAGTGAACGTTTACAGAGCTACCTAGTAAACCTCCAAAGTGATTTTATTTAATTGGAGGTGATGAGTAAATTGCTAAGTAGTGGACCACTAAGCGGGTGCTGATACTACTTTGAAATTTACTAGGAGTTTTCTTCCTCACACGATTTATTTGTGGAATTGTTTACCAACGGCGATTTTTCCGGACCGATAAGACTTAGGGGCCTTTAAGAAACAGGCTTACTCATTTTTAAAAGGCCAGCAACGTACCTGAATTTCCCCTGGTGTTGCAGTTGTTTATGGGCGACGGTCAAGACTTACCATCAGGTGAGCCACATGCTTGTTTGCCGCCGGTCTTCTTTAAAAATCATCTTCAGTACTAGCCATTATTAAATGGATTACAAATTCGACTACTATATCATCTTTGTTTTTTTACAATTTTGTGTTTAAACTCAAACTGATCAATGTCAATGAGAGCTTACTCGTTTCTAAAAAGCCGGCTGTGTACTTCCATTCACGTGCAATTCCTCTGGTGTTGTAAATGTTCATTATCCTTCTCTTCTGTAATATAAAAATAAAATTAATACAAAACAAATAGGAGAGAGGTAAATCTGTACTATATTCTATAATCTATGTTAATTAATGAATATCGAGTAGTTAGAATACAATTTATAATGAAACAGTATTTATGTGCCAGGAACAGGCTGTGGTATGCCCACATTTTGCTATGTATCAAATAGTGAATGTGAAACAATTCATCTTAATTAGTATTTAACGATGACAACGCATTCAAATGCAGCGGAAACGTGGGGCAAGGGAATTATATGTAAGGACATATATGATGAATGTGTACAATATAGATATTGCGCAGGGCATCCTACATGCTGGGGGCATTTGATTTTGCATTAAGTATGCGCAGATTAATAACAAATGTATAGATTTTAAGTTAGCTTTAATGGGATTGACATGTTAACGAACAAAACTCCCTAAATAAAACAAGAATAAAAAAAAATTAAAAATCAATCGAGGATGTAGTGTATGTATCTGTGGGATACAGCATCTACTTACCATCAAGCGGACTCTGTGTTGTTCCTCCCCCCTGTCACTTCTATATAAAAATAAATAAATAAAAAAGGTTATAACTTATGGTATATTATATTAAATTATATTCATGACGTATTAATTACCTTTTGTAGTTCTCACGGCCGATTACGCTTATTTAGAAATACGTAACATTTCTATAGTATTTCTGCGCCTCTGTCACTTGACTGTAATTAACATACTTCAACCCGATGAGCATTTTGGATTTAGAGCTGAACAGTCTTGTACTTAACAAATTTATCGCCTTACGTAATATACCCTGTTTGGCTTTAATCACCATCCTACAAAGAAAATATCTCGAAACACTCCCCTCTTGTTCGATGTCGCAAAGGCATTTGATAAGGCCTGGCACCACGGCTTGCTTTACAAGCTTTATAAACTAAACGTGTCCGATAGGCTCGTACACATCATCTAAGCTTTCCTTACAAATCGCTCTTTTCGCTATCGAGTGGAGGGAACCTGTTCTACGAAACGTTTCCTAAAGGCCGGGGTCCCACAAAGCTTCCTTCTGTCTCCACTTCTCTTCACACTCTTCACGAGTGATATCCCTAAGGACCCAGTGGTAAGCACTGCTCTGTTCGCCGACAATACATCACACTTTGTATCTGATTATAATAGGAATAGTCTCACTTTGAAATTCCAAAAAGCTACCAATCGCTTAGTTGAATAGTGTTGCAACAGTTGAATAGAGTGCAACGCCAAAAAAGATTCAAGGTCGAAAAGCAATACTAAATATTATTTCCTTATACGGCTGCCCCATCTCTTGGAAATAATCGGGCAAATATCTGGGCATCACATTCGCCGTCCGCATGAGTTTTGTAAAACACATATATGTAGTACGCAAATGAGCCAAGTCATTGGCAGTCTTCACCATCTTGTTAACAGAAAGAGTAAACTGTCACTAAGACGTTTATACGTAGTAGAGCCATGCTGCAGTTATGTTAGTAGTATAGTTGTAGCACGAATGGGTCGCCTCGACCGGGGAAGGACCACGCTCTCACAGAATCCAGCGTAAAATAGTAGCTTAATGCTGCTGTGTTTCGTATGGTGAGTGTATAGAAACGGAGACCCTTTTTACTGGAAACGAGGCTTTCCATCTTAGTCCTTACGGGTGACAACGCATCTGCATTTTGATTCGTAATCGAAGATAGATGTAAATGTCTATGCAAGAGTTCACGCACACGTATAGGGGCTACCATTACGAAATACAGAAAGTCCAAAACTTTTTCATCCGTAAAGCCACCAGAGCATGGTGGTAATAACGGAATTCATATTTGTACAGTGACTACTTTGGTTGTGCCAAATCCTATCCAAACCCGCTAACCCGTCCTAAAAACCAAACGTGGCGAAACGCCATAGACCGCTAAACGTACTTATAGACCACGCTCGCTCAATCACGTCAACCCAGACGTCGATGTACCTGGGCTCTCACCGCCCTGAACATCAACCGACGCGAACTAAGCAGTCAAAGGTGGGGGTCCGCACTCCCCCACTCGGAAGCGCAACCACAGAAGCAACCTGATGATTGGTAACAATACCAAAACATAAACCATCATCATCATCCTCATCACTATTGCAGTTTCCTTTTTAATCAGCCCTGAGTCAAATGAAGCTGTAAAAACCGTATAGGCTAATAGTACCAACATCACAGAAAATAGATTAGTTATAGTATTTCTTGTAGGAGATTGTAAGGCTATTAAAAATAAGACAATTTATTCGAATGGTTTCGAGAAAACTTTTTTTAAGTGTTGGCTTTAAAATATTGCAATCATATTGTGATTAAGACTTTATGTCATTAAAACTTATTTTTTTGTGTTTTAATTATTGTGTCTACGTATTTCTATTCTAATTTCTATTCTATTACCATTGGTCCTTGATACGAGTGCAAATTTTCAAGTCAATCGGCCGTCTACACGCGAGTGAAAATTACATTAAAAGACTCCGTTACATAGATAAATAGATAAATACATGCGAAGTTAATAAAAGCTTGTTTGAAAGATTTCTAATGGCTCAGATGATGACTATATACGAGTCCAAATATTACTACAATTATATTTCGTGTAGATAATATGCACTTGTGCAGTCATTACCGCGACCTGTGTGGGAAACCGCTATACTATGAAGGTGGGTCGTTGACATCGAGTGCAACGGGCGAGTGCGGCGTCATACGGATTCAACCATGCGTTGCGTAATGCTCGCTTGTGGTAGCGTCATAATGTTAAAACATAAAGAGTTTAAAAATCGAATACAACCGTTACAATACCTGATCAGGACTTTATTATTGTTTTAATTGTAAAATAGAAAATAGAAGAATAAAGTCTTTGAATATGTACGTACAGCGTAGCGTACATATTCAAAGACTTTATTATCATTCAATTCAGGCTACGCTACTTGTAAATAACGTCAAAATCTACCAAATCTACACCGGTTTGCTACAACGGAAGCTCGCAAGACTTAGAGAAGAACAAACTACTTGCTCTAGGGTTTTTTTAAATGCTATGTTACATATCTTTTTAACCACTTATAATAAAATCAATACTTTGTCAAATGTCTTAATTTTTTTTTAATGTCAGTTTTATATTAGCCTGTTGACTTGCAAGTGCCGGGCAACAGTGGAAATAACTCATAATATTCTTCGGTATTATAAGAAATAATATGACAAATATATAACTTGAAACCTTAGTTTTACGTTTAAGCAAAGTAAAGATGTTTCAAATGGTACTATAAACCTTTCGTCAACACCTTTTCTGAACCAGCCATTTTTATCACCTTTCGGATACTGGTCTTAACAATAATGTGCTAGGAGTTTTTCTACCTGTATTGCAACAGCAACTGTTATACAAAAATCGGCGTATTGTTTCCTCTCCTGTTTAAAATTTTCACTAACTTTTAAGTCATAAATATTTATTTTGCTATTTATATATAATATTATAGGTCTCAAAGTTCTGTCGGTGGATGCTGTCACCTATAAGCACCTGCAATTATCATCAATTAAGCATCAAAGTGTAGATAGTAGTGTGTCGTATAATAGGAATACCCTTGAGTATATGGAATACCTCGTTACCAGTATAGTATTTGTATCTCTATACTCGCTATATTAAAGTCAGCAGTCCTTCCTCAAACGAGCCTATCCTATTCAGCTAATATCTATAAAGCTGGTGTGTGACTCCACCCAAATACCATATATTTGTTGAATAGAACTGTTTTTATGGATTAGATTACGTTCATTCAACTTATTTTTATTCCCAACGTTATAAGTGCTTTGTAGTGTAGTGTAGTGCAGTGTTCTCATAAATATAAGAAATCAAATATTTGTGATTTTCCTTTTCGGTTTTCAAATCTGGGATCCGCGACATTACTATTCACATACTCTGATCACTATAACAATGTATGTATTGTTACAGAGCGATGTCTCGGTGGAAGGGCAAAGTGAGGTAGCCGGCAGATGGCAGCAGTAAGTGCGGCGATGTATCGGCCCGGGGGCACACTCGATCCCCCGTGCTACGCCACGCAGAGGGTGAGTATTTACATCACAACAACAACAAATAGTGTTGGCTCTTAACCAAATTGTTTAATTAGTTTGATCTCTTTGGCTTTTTATGGTTGAGTTGCTTGAAAATTTAATAAAGTGACTTCAATAGATAGGATGTACGAAAAAGTAATATTATCCTGCAACATGCTGAAAGAATATAAGTTAATCGATAAGTTAATTTTTATTGATTTTGTAAATAAGGAGAACCACAGCAAAATATATATTAATAATAAAATACCTAATATTTTAGAACTGTATGCCTTCAATTCATATTTTTAAAAGCGTAAGAGACACCTGGTCCTATCACCTCAAACTTGCTTGGAAGAATGTAAGACTCAGTTGTACGGAATAAAATTGTTCGATAACTAGTTAAACATTTGAAAAACTGATGTTTTACTTGTTTATTCATAGAAATAATCAATTCACTTTTAATTTCCTTATTAGGTACTTTATCTGACTTATGCAAAATAACGAATAGTGGCTGCGTAAAATAATTCATCGTCCCTTTCGTTCGTGGGTGTCATCATCAAGGAACAAGGAAGGATGATTGAACTTACAGCGGTATACCATTTCGTATATACCGGATATTAAATGCTCAAATAGTGTTTTATATATACAGCAACTGGGCATTAAAGTGTCAAGTTATCTCCGAGTCATCCTACAATGTCCTTCCTACAAAGGGAGAGGAGGAGAAGATTTATATCGGAGCAATAACAAGTTTATGAAAATATTTTACTTTTTACTTAAAAAAAGAGAAGTTTCTCAATTTTTACTGTTTGATTTTAAATAAATAAAAAACGAATTATAAAATAATTTTAATGGTTCAAATTTTGATAAATATGAAAAATAGGGTTTATTTTATGTTACGGTTGTAATATTTAGACGACAAGGTCTCACCTAGGTATGTATTGCCTTATAGGGGGATATTTGCCACAGTTGCCACGCCTAGCAGTCGAGTTGGCAACTGCAGATTTTTTAAATTGTTATTAGGTAACTCCAAGGCCCATCTCATGGTATATTTCTCTCTGTCACCTCATACGACACCCACGGGGCGCTAAGGGGCAGTGGAGTTTCTTACATCGCTACATGGTGTTCCGGTGATTTTACTTAGTCAACTGAAAAGGATATAAAAATAAGGCCTTAATTTGAAGCATACGAAACTAAAGAATAAAATAATTTCACAGTCCAAAGTTTTCTGTACACTATATCTTAGCACCAAATTCTGTAGCTATTGTGTGGAAATAATTTAATTCTTTTCACAACTTTCAAGTCTGGTTTTACTTATATTAAAATTTCAATTTTAAAAGATAAGTTAGTAGCAGTGTTCGTGTTCTATTTAGATAAGAAAATATATTATTTTTGCAGACGCATAGTTCTCTTTCGCTTTAAAATACGATACGATATATCACGAGAAACCCACAAATCATGTAAACACAGGTAAAACAACTATTAAATTACATGACAGCCAATTGTAAACAAGTGCTTACGTGCCGTTTACCCTTGAGGACAAATGCCACCGTAATAAAATCAATGTTTACACGTTGATATAAAGTTGCAATTTAGAATCTTGTGTTCTGAAATGGAAAATTGTTTAATTTTATTTTATACTACGAGTAGATGGTAGACGGCGCGATGCAGCCACAGAAAAACTAATTGCGGGATTCTTTTTTTAAATTTTGATAAAATTATTTAATTACGAATACATTCAAATAAATTTGTCGGTACGATACGCGCGCCACCTACGTTAAGTTAATTGTACTATGCCTCTAACCTTCGCGCAAGAGTAAGCAATAAGTAGACAAAGTTTTACCGCGATATATTTTCTATTTTGCTTCAAGCTCATTTAAGATTTAAGTGATTTTAGAAATTCACGTGAAATAAATAATTATAACCTTTAAATAAAAATGTTGACGACAAATCCTGCAGGAGCTCACTACTAGATAAGAATGTGATGTCACTTTATCTTACCGGAGGATAAAAATGTACTACAGATGCGGTACATCAAATGTTGTTATTATTTTGATAGATATAACCTGCTCATATCGTATTTTTTTGCAAATACAAAATGCTATGTCAGTAGTTTTATTCAAGAGGAATGTAACATTGTCTTGAAATGCCTAGAAAATAATTTTAATGTTTTAAAACCACGTGAAAACGCATTTCTTAGCTCAGCAAACTTATCGATATCAGATGTTGTGTAATTTCACTTTCTTCCATTTCATTTTACTTATTGTCTAGACTTACAAAGATATGTTTACATTCTCACAATAACATTTCAATGTAATTCAATTAGGTGTGACAATAGAGATTTCATTGCCAGGTCATTACGAACAAATAGGGTTTTCTAGTTACGTTCAATGTTACTACGTCGTAAATGAAAATCAAATTGCTAATATGCGAATATATCAGCGTAAAATAACAGCTTAATGCTGCTGGGTTTCGTATGGTGAGTGTAGAGAACCGGAGACCCGTTTTACTGGAATCGAAGCATTGCATCTTAGTCCTCAGGCGAGACAACGAATCTGCATTTTGATTCTTCATCGAGGTTAAATGTAGATGTCTATGGGCCCAGCATCCACTTACCATCAGGTGGACTGTGTGCTTGTTTGTCACCCTAATTCTATTAAAAAAACTGAAAATTATAAGTAATAAAAGTAATATCGGTTTCAGCCAATATGAAGCTGAGCACGGACCTCTTTACAATACTAAGCGATTTTTTATCCCCTGAGCTACCATGAACTATCATATGCAGCTATATCAGTATATAGATGTTATATTGTTATATAACCGCTTAAATTCAAACGCCAATCGCGATGGAATTTTTCAGTTACAATAATTTTGGCCATCAGTATTAATTCCCTTTTTCTCATTGATTTTTTTGCAGATCTTAATGAACTGAATTTTCGGTTATGAAAAAGGAGAATGAAACTTATTTTAGTGCAATATCCTAAAAAAAAAAACTATTATTTTTGTAAATGAACAAACAATATATTTCTTAAATTTTAAATCAAAATGCATCAACTGAAATAAACTCTTCAAAAAAAAAATCAACTTTGAATAACTTACGTTTATATTAGGACATATTTAAATACAAATATGCATATGCAATTACTCTGTGTGTTTAGTATTTGTTACGAAAATTTCTTGCAACCCGTGTTGGCTTTGTAGCTCAAAGGGCTTTAGACATAAATCTGCTTTGTCGCTTTCAACCACATATATTCACTTGACTGTTCACCCATTACACTGTTGACCCATTACCGTTATATCAAACATCCGAAGCATGTATTTGTTTACAGCAAAGAGTATGTCCGTTCCCTTTTATGCGTATAGCATTCAATATGAGATTTCGACTGCGAAAATCATCTGAATATTTCGTAATTAATAACAAGAAGAGTGATAACGTTTTTACGTGATCCCTGACATGCGTGGCAGTCTCCAAACCGTGTCTCTCCACGGCCCACAGCTATATTATGACTGCAGTATGAGTTGAATAGGTCAGAAGGAAAGCCATTGATCTAAATATGCCTGTTATTAATTTTATAATTTTAACAGTTTATAATTCATATTATAAACCAATATGATGATTCAATAACATATGTTGAAATTGCCTAGCTGCATATTTCAAAATACGTTTGTCCTGTAAATCAACTATAATCAAAATACTCGTAGTAAAAAGGGAAATGATGGTTAGTAATCTTATTTTACTGATAATAACCAGAACAAGCCTGATTGTTAGAATTTCTGTGAGTAGGTTGCTTATAAAACGTATAGCTGAGTTATCTGATCGCATTTCGAGAGGGTTATGCTAACCCGTTTATGCTTGCTTGCTTAATGCTGCTGCGTATCGAACGGTGAGTGTAGAGAACCGGAGAGCCTTTTTACTGGAAACAAGGCATTGCATCATAGTCCTCAGGGCTGACAACGGGTCTGCATTTCGATTCTTAATTGAGGATAAATCTAGATGTCTAAGGGTCACATTATCCGCATCCCTTATTCTATAAAGAAGGTGGCAAAAATAATCAAAGCCACAGGAAGATAGTATTTCAAGGCTTAGCTTACACAAAATAACTTGAGGATCAGTTGAGATGATGAGCATCATTTACACAAATTGTTCATATGTGTAACCAAATTTCCATCAATTTGCGTATAAAAATCTACTTTCAACTAGTATTTGAACAATTTTACTAGAGTGACAATCCGTTTGTGGTCAACTTTCCGCTAAAACTAATCCAATCGAAAGATAACCGTCCACTGCTCCCAAAGTATTATTATATTGTCTCATATTTGAGCGCAAATACAGGGAACCCACAAATATTTTTCTACTCATATCTGATGTCCACGTATGGGTTTAGATTAGAGGTAAACATTGCCAGTAGAGTGGAGCTCAGATTGTCTTTATGGCTAATTGGAATTGGTTTTGTGCTGAATTAATCTTTCTGAGGTTATCCCGGACCGTTTCATGCCGCAATTATATTACAGCTACATAATGACTATTATGTGAAAATTTGTCTTCTCTAATCATATTATATTGTTTCGACAATAATACTTAAAGGGGATAAAATTTCTTTTGTCAGCCTTACTAAGAGATGAACACAAAAGTCATTCGACAAAAGTAAGCCTACAATAATACAAAAGTAATGAGATGTAAGAAAATATGTTAATATATTTCTTTTGACTAAGCGAATAGCGTTTTTACAAAGAAATGCGAATGACAGTGTACTTTAGCATTATTGTAATAAGTAAGACTATTTGTCTACGGCTCATTTTCAAAAGAAGCATGATCAAAATAATTTATTTCTTAAATTTGACTTTTTGAGTGAATTCACATTACATTTTCGAGATAAATTTAATTTAATTGGGATTTTTATGACAGTTTCTATTATATCAAAAACTAATACATTTACTATAATATATAATGTTACAATGAAATGAATGATTTAAGTTACGGCATTTCTCATTTCTGTCACACCCGCTGCAAAATTTAA